TCAATGGTATTCCGATGTATAGCAATGCTAACGCTCGGATTTCCCGTTTCGGGAGCTTATCTCATGTGCTTTATAGGATATATTATTCCTTTCACAATGGTGGTAAGTTAAGCCCTTACTACGGGATATCACAGTTACATAACTAGTGCTCATTTCAGCTTGGAGCTTTCAATATGGATTTCGTCAGCGATCCTGTTTCGAATGCTGCCTACATTAATTACAGTGTTCCGAATCTGGAACTGTACCGCACTGCCGTTGGCACAACGGTCGATCAGGTTAGAGTATCTGAATTAGAGTAAATAAAGGGAAAGAAGAGAAGGAAGGAGAGGAATAAGAATGGGCGAATAAGTGAGTAGACGACCAATGAAAAAAAGGGACAAGTTGGTCAAAAACCTCAGTGAAACGATGTGAGTGAATATATAGATTAGTGAAAGAAATGAGTAAAGAGTAACCTAAAAAATTTATTGATTGATTGGCAAATGGATTCATACTTTAGCCATGCGTCTTATATGTCATTATTTGTACATCTATCTTCCTAATCCCCATCTATATCGTAATGTATTTCTGTCGATGGAAAATCTACCGCGTGATATCACGCCCTACGTTTGTGCAGAATAATTCGACGCAGTCAAATATACAAAGACTTGTTAAGGTCAGCGGTAGTTCAGAGTAATCAGTATCCTGACGGTCACTCTTTTGATGATAAATGTTTTCAGGCACTCACCGTTCAATCACTTATTCCACTGTTCACAGTATTTCCGGCCTCTGTGTCCTACCTGTTAGCGCAATTCAGCACGTTACACTTTCATATGTACAGCTACTTTATTGTGTCTTCTCTTAGTATCTGTAAGTTTTATCTGCAAAATTACCAAGTGCATCAAATATTTGAAATTATCTTTTGACTCGGAACAGCTCTCACTCACTACTTCACCTAAAAATGCAGGCCTTATTTGAGCAATTTAAAGTGTTGAGTCTACACTGTTGTTGGCTGCGAAATCATTACATACTGATGTTTTACAAAAGGCTAAGTCATTGTTTTAGCCTCTCTCGTCGATCCGATCGTCACAATCTACTATGTCAATCCATATCGTCGATACACTTGGCACCTCCTAGGATTGTCCCAAAGCGAATTTGAAACCACTATGTTCAGAGCGAGCTCTTTCGACAAGTCTTTTCGACGTTCATTTATTTCAGCACGTCATAACTCCTCCAACAAAATACAATCTAACCACTGATCGCCCTAAACGTTATCCTCTGCGTTTTAATTCTCAAGGAAAGTTGAGGTAATCAGAATCAAGAGCACTCAGATTTGCACATTTCGCATATAGAACACGTTTGTCATACATTTTTGTTGGGAATATGCCTGTGGCAGCGCTTATCGTATGAGGAAGTGATCTTCTTTGATTTGTCAGAAGATCTTAGCTTGTTGATAAAGAAATATTCAAGAAGAGTGTGTAATCTCATCATATCCATTCGACAAACTTATTACCATGTTATCTAACCAAGCCTTCCATCTCTACTCGAGTACACAGCTTACCTCTTTTCTTTGTTTCTCGACGCCAAACTTATGAGTTTATGTCACGGAATATCTCATCACCTTTCTATTGTTTGTACTC